CCTCGCCAGTGGGAGAGGAGTCCAGCCAGGGAGGGACTCCTGCCAGGCCCAGACAGCAAGTCACCCTAATGAGCACACCGCCTCCCCCGGCCTTGACCTTGTGCTTCATTTAAATACTAACTGTTACTGAATCAGCCTGAAAGCAGGGCGGGAGGGAACTTCGTCAGCTGCACCCATAGTGCCACCCCCTCGCAGAGTATCCGCTTTCCTCTGCGACCTTGCGCTCTACCGCGGCGTACATGGCTGTCTTCCCTTCCTGAAACACCCAGGGTTCTCACGGTGATATGCAGTCTATGTCAACGTCATTCCCGTGGTAACAAAAGGTAAGTCTCCTGAAAACCCTGCGCATACAAATAACTGCCGCTGCGAAGACCGCTATGCCTTCATGAACATGTACTCCGTAAATAAGCCACAGTACATATTCTTACATAGCTGGGATATGAACAGAGTGCACTTTTCTATATTTTTCACTTAAAATAATATCTTACAAAATCCCACGCTTCTGTGACCACCTGAACGATGCTGTTATGTCTGTCTAGCGTTAGTCACGTGTGTTTCCCAATTGCTTCCATGTCACCACTTGTAACATGACCTCTGCACAAAAGGGAAAAAGCAAGCGCGGTTCGTGTTCTAACACCTGAATTTGTATGAAGAACCTATGTATTCACTTCAGATGTGTGTGCCCCGTGCTCCGGCCGTCCTGAAAGGGCCACTGGGGGGCAGCAGAGTGAAGTGAAAGAAATGGCTGTCCCAGCACCTGTTCCCCCAACGCAGCTGCTTTCCTTCGCTAGCGCTCTGCTCCCGCACCTGCTCCCCCACCTGCTCCCACACCTGCTCCCGCACCTGCTCCCGCACCTGCTCCCCCACCTGCTCCCACACCTGCTCCGCACCTGCTGCCCCACCTGCTCCCGCACCTGCTCCCGCACCTGCTCCCACATCTGCTCAGCGAGGGCGCTAGAGCAGCACTGCTCACGTGTGGTCTTTGGGCGGCAGCAGCACATCACCTGGGTGCTGGTCAGACACGCATTCTGGCTCCACTTGAGGACTCAAGAGCTGCACTTACCATCCCCCAGTGACCCGCTCCTCTAAGTTTGAGGTGGCCATTCTGAGAGAATTTTGATCTCACCAAGCTTTTTCCTACAGTTTTGTGTTGCTCCTTCCCGTGTTAAGCTCATGTGTTTGAGGCACCGTCTACTCTGGCTGGACCTAGGTCCCGACTAACCTTACATGTTTCTCTCAAAGGCCAGGCAAGACTCCCCATTTCTCTGGCCAGTAAAACTAAGGCCCCGGCCCGGGCTGTGCATCCCACCCGCACCTTCTGGACACCAGCCTGGAAGCCCTGGAGACGGCTGCACTTGATCATCTGGTGGAGGAGGACTCGGGCCAGGGCGGCGTCCAGCAGCTCCAGGTCTCCATAGAAACAGACGAGCAGCCCCAGCCTGTGTGAGAGGAGAAGGGCCTGGCGCAGGGCGCAGGGACCGGCGCAGGACAAGCAGTGGGGCTGGGCTCGGAGCTGGGTCCAGCAGTCAGCTCTCCTCCTGGGCGGGGGGCCTGAGAGCAGCCTGGTGCGGAGTTAGCCACAGAGACGCCCCCTTTCCTGGGAGACAGCGCTGCCCGCCAGGGGTTCTCTGGGGCCCAGATTCATGGCCAGGATGCTTTGCAAACCACACCCAGGTGATAATGACCTCCAACACAGAAAACACAGGAGACGGAGGCATGTCGGGCAGCAGTGGGATGTGACCCTGGTCCAGCTGGGAGCGCCGTCGCCCGTGGTGAAGAGCCCAGCTGCGGGCCAGCGGACTCGGCAGGTCACCTGACTTCTCTGCCAGGCTGCTGCCCACGATCCGTCTGCACAGGGCGGCCAGGCTGCTGCCCGCGGTCCGTCTGCACAGGGCGGCCAGGCTGCTGCCCGTGGTCCGTCTGCACAGGGCGGCCAGGCTGCTGCTGCCCGCGGTCCGTCTGCAGCTGCTGCCCTGGTCCGTCTGCACAGGGCGGCCAGGCTGCTGCTGCCCGCGGTCCGTCTGCACAGGGCCCGGCCCAGAGGCTTTGACCGGGCAGGTTTGCTGTGTTCGTGAGCACACATAGCACATGTGATGGGTGCAGGATGGGGAACGCTGCGCGTGTGAGGAGAGGCATGCTGAAGGTTAGCACACTTCCTGGTGGGGACGGACCACACGTTCGGTCCTGGCTGCTCTTAGCATTCCATGCTATCTCCTGGATGTGGCGTGGTGACCGCCCTGTTGGCCATGCCCCACCTGGCTCCGCCCTCCCAGGACACGGACATGCTCGGACGTGTCCACAGGAGAGCAACCGGGTCAGGGAGGGTCTGAAATTGTGTCGAATGAGAAAGATGACAGGGGGGAGCAAAGGCTGAAGTTGAGAATAGCTAACATTTCTTGAGACATAACTGTCCGGTGTGTGTGATCCTTACAAGGACTCAGTGAGGTGGGCAGGCCCTGGCCCCCCCTTTCACGGACAGAGAAAGGGGGTGTGAACACTGCCGGAATCACATGGCTGATAAGTTGCAGAACCAGGATCACACCAGGCCTGGCTCAGGGCCCACTAAGGCAGTGGTTCCCAACCTTCCTAATGCCGCAACCCTTTAATACAGTTCCTCATGTTGTGACCCAACCATAAAATTATTTTCGTTGCTATTTCCAAACTGTAATGTTGCTACTGTTATGAATCGTAATGTAAATATCTGATATGCAGGATGGTCTTAGGCGACCTCTGTGAAAGGGTCGTTCGACCGCCAAAGGGGTCATGACCCACAGGTTGAGAACCGCTGCACTAAGGTATCCTTCATGTAACCACAGAAACAGGGGACCCAGGCTGCTGGTGAGAATTACCAGGGATGGAGGGAGAAGGGGTAACAGTTTTATGTAAGAGCATTCTCACAAGTGAGCTTGAAAAACTTGAAGGTGGGAGGTGATGTTGGAGGAGACAGCAAGGCCCGGGTATTCACACACACACACCCACACACACACACACACACACACTGCATGCCCATCCCCCCGACATTCGGACTCTTTTTGGGCACAGCTCCTGCTGGCAATGGCTCCTGGAGGATCCCATTACAACCCCTAAATTCTAGAGCTGATCTCATCTGGGGTCTAACAACCCACCGGAGAGTCTAGAGAACAAGGGTTCACAAGTATGGGGACCCAGGAGCCGTTTCCAACACTCCGCCCAGCTCACTGGGAATTACACATTTACCTTGAGATGGACAGCGTGCCGAGGGTTTAACCCTGAGCTTGACAATGTTGCATAAAATGCCTGGCACCCAGGAGACCCCAGAAAGCCTCTGTGCCCCTTAGGCCTTGGAGAGGTCTCTGGGGAAGCCCCTCCCCCGAGACTATTCACGGACCAGCCACTCCCCTTCCCGCCAGGAGCCTTTGCTGCTCAGAGGAACCCGAGCCCAGAGCGCATCTTGGGCAAAGCTCGGAGGGCCCTGCCTGTGGACGGTGGAGGCGTTCCTCATGTCGAAGTCGGAGGAGCCGATCCGCTCCAGGAAGGCCTGGGCCAGCTCCGGCGTGATGTCATAGACGGTGTCCAGCTGCTTGGTGGCGTTGTCATAGCTGATGAACAGCCCGATCTGGTGGACAAGCACAGAAAGGTCATGTGGAGGACGGGCGTGGCCACGGCACCCGGGGGTCCGCGCTGCGCCATCCCAGACACGGTGCGCTGTTCCCGCTGCCGTGGCCGAGCTCACGGCCCCTCGCCGCGGGGTGCTGCCTGCCTCAGAAAGCCCCCTGGTATTTAAGGAGCATTACTTCTACCACCCATGACGCTGGACTTTTTTAAGCTAATATTTGCGCATTTACTTCTAGATTTGTTATACTGGGGTCAGAGAATGTGGCCCACACATTTCCTGCTTTGGGGAATCGGAGTTTTTTGAATAGATGAGTGAGTTTATAAGTGACCTCAGGAAATTAAAAACATGTATCCTTTGTAGGACTAAAAAGTGAACTAGAATAGAATCTGAGCAGCATATTATTATCTTTCTATTCCTGCGCACTTTTTGCCTGTGTCCAGGGCCGTCCCCTTAATGTCCTGATGTTTCACCGCACTGTTTTCTGTGCCTAAGAGGCTCGTACAGCTGCCTCTCCCCCGGAGACTGCCCATTGCCCCGTGACGTGCCCTTGGCGGGGGCCTGCTTTCCCCTCCCTTCCCCACACTTCTAGACGCAGAAGAAAAGGTGCGTGTGGGATCTGACCCTAGCAATGCCCCTGCCAGCTTCCTCGGAACTAACCTGTCTGCCCACCTCCCGGACTCAGCGCTGGGAGGGCACAGCGGGGTTAACCCGTGTTGTAATCAGGTTTCAAAATCAAGACATTCAACACGCGCCCGGCCTCCCAGGTAGAAAGAGGAGCCGCGTGCTGCCCTGGCTTCGTAATGGCCGGGCGTTGCTGGGTCAGTCGGCCCTGAACAGCCTGTCACTTCTGCAGAGACTTCTCTCACTGAGAGTGGATGACTGGCCAGCTGGGCGCTCGGGGTAGAGGCCCAGGCAAGCCCACCGCCCCTTGAGTGCCTCCGGTTGGCAGTGTGCCTAGGAGGCTGCCGTCCAGAGTCAGGGTCACTGGGTCAACACCAGGACAGCAACCGGCTGGCCACGCGCTAAGCAGCGCAGGACGGAGCTCAGTGCTGCTACTCCGTGTTGCTTCCACTCAGTCCACGCCTCCTGGCCGGGAAACGCTAGCGCTGTTTTCCGTGGCCTTTCTGGAGGACGAAAATACTCAGGTGATTTTTGGTTCACAGCCAACCTGCTGTCACGTGGGCTCGCGTCAGAGCTGTCTCAGTGGCCACAACCCTTCCCTTTTCTGGGTTCGTCTGCACTAGAACACAGTCGGGGGGCTGACGGCTTGAGGCCGCTCTCCAAGCGTTTTCTTAGAGACCCGGCTACCCTGGGCTGCGGGCTGACCTCGTCCCGGTGAGTTAGCAAGTGTGCCTTCCCGACTTACTTCCATGGGACTGATTTTCGTAATTTCTTCAAGGGGTAGGTGAACCATGTATCTGCCCAAAATCCATAAGATTTCTGCGCTGACCCATGAAGCAGACCCATCTGCAAGCGAATAAAAGAACAGGTGGGTAAGTGAACGAGGGAGTAAGAGCCCTGCACTGTGGTGGGGCTTGATGGCAGGACCCCCTTCCTGCATTCATGAACCCGTTAGCTCCTCCGAGGCGTTCCCGGGCAGCACCCTGCCCCCGGACGCTCGCCGCGCACTGGGAGGCGCAGGTGCCGCCAACGGGGCTTTGTCACCCAGCAGTGTGCTGCCTGCACAGGCCGCACCAGCAGCCCCGGGGCTGTTAGAGATGCAGGTTATTCGTTAAGACTTCAGACCACAGAATAGAGCTTTGTTGTAGCTCACTTAGTTACTAAGTAACCTGGCAACTTTAAATATATCTGACTCTTATTACTAATAATAGTTATCATCCTTGCTGATTATCACCATGTTACTAGACTTGAGCCAGACCAAACCACTTGTACGCACCCCATATGTTTGCCAAGCTCTGCGTGCTCAGGCCCTTCCCGTGAGCTGGAATGCCTTCCACCTAACCGGGGCTGGGGAACCTTCCTTCTGCCAAGCGCCATTTGGATGTTTATAACATCATTTACGGGCCATACAAAATGATCAACTTAAAAATGAGCCTGCTGTATTTGGTCAAACATTTAACTAACTCACCCCCAATGCCTTGGCAGGGCCAGACCAAATGGTTTCGAGGGACTTATACGGCCCGCGGGCCGGACGTTCCCCACCCGATACCCTTCTGCTTCCAAATCCTACCTTCGAGATTGAGCTCACACATCTCCTCTTCCCTACAGCCCACCTTGTCTCCCAGCCAGCACTACACTCTCTCCTCTGAACTCCCGAGGACTCGCCACTCTGTTTGAATTTCCCCATCAATGGGATGTCAACAGAACTTGAAGAACCATCGTGTGGAGAAAAGGGACCCTCGTGCACCATGAATGGGAGTGCAGATCGGTGCAGCCACGATGGAGAACAGTATGGGGGCCCTCAAAAACATAAAAATAGAGTGACCTATGACCCAGCAATCCCGCTCCGGGGCATTTCTCTGGAGGAAATGAAAATACTAATTTGAAAAGCTATCTGCACCCCAGTATTATTTACAAGAGCCGAGATAGGGGAGCAGCCCAGGTGTCCATCAGTAACTGAGTGGATAAAGAAGTGGTACATGTCAACAATGGAGTATGACTCAGCTATAAAAAAAAGAATAAAATCTTAGAAACCATCAACAAAACAACAAGAAAGCCCACTGCATGGGAGAACATATTTGCCAATGTTATCTCTAATAAGGGTTTAATCTCCAACATTTACAGAGAAATCATACAACTTAACAAAAGGAAGATAAACAATCCAATAAAAAAATGGGCAAAGGACCTAAATAGACACTTTTCGAAAGAGGACATACAGAAGGACCAGAGACGTATGAAAACATGCTCAAAGTCACTAATCATCTCAGAGATGCAAATCAAAACAACAATGAGGTACCATCTCACACCTGTCAGAATGGCTATCATCAACAA